TAACAGGAGGACCAGTCCAGCTTCTAACACAAGAGTCAGCCTGGCCTCTGACTCACACAGGGGCCAGTCCAGGTTTTGACGCATGCAAAGGCCAATTTGGCTTCTGTCTGACACGAGGGCCAGTCTGGCCTCTGACTAATGTGTGGGTCAATCCTCCTAAATCATGTAAGAGCCATATTGGTTTCTGACTTGCCGTATTGGTCTAAAGGTCCATGTATGATACATGTTACATTCTGACCATACAATCTACCTAGGACCTACCTAGTCTACTCAATCAACTTCAATCTGATCAGGCAGGCCTCTATTCTACATAGTTGTTGGTAGATCTAAATAATATCGTACAATCAGATTGTAATGTATGTGGTGGCCTAATCTACAGTGAATATAAAAGTCTACACGCCCCTTTTAAAATGTCAGGTAAAAAAAATGAGACAAAGATAAATCATTTCAGAACTTTTTCCACCTTTAATGTGACCTATAAACTGTACAACTCAGTTGAACAACAAACTGAAAACTTGTAGGTGGAGGGAAGTAAAAATAAAAAAACTAAAATAATCTGCTTGCATAAGTTTGCACACCCTTACACTAATCCTTTGTTGAAGCCCCTTTTGATGTGATTCCAGCACTCAGTCTTGTTGGGGAGGAGTCTATCAGCATAGCATATCCTGACTTGGAAATATTTGCCTGCTCTTCCTTGCAAAAACCCTTCAAATATGTCAGATGGCGAAGACATCTCCTGTGCACAGCCCTCTTCAGATCCCCCCACAGATTTTCTATAGGATTCAGGTCTGGGCTCTGGCTGGGCCATTCCAAAACATCCATCTTCTTCTGGTGAAGCCATTCCTTTGAGGATTTGGATGTATGCTTTGGGTCGTTGTCATGCTGAAAGATGACGTTCCTCTTCATGTTCAGCTTTCTAACAGAAGCCTGAAGGTTTTGTGCTGATATTGACCGGTATTTGGAACTGTTCATAATTCCCTCTACCTTGACTAAGGGCCCAGTTCCAGCTGAAGAAAAACAGCCCCAAAGCATGATGATGCCACCACCATGTTTCACGGTGGGTATGGTGCTCTTTTGGTGATGTGCAGTGTTGTTTTTGCGCCAAACATATCTTTTGGAATTATGGCCAAAAAGTTCACCCTTGGTTTCATCAGACCATAACACGTTTTCCCACATGCTTTTGGGAAACTTCAGATGTGTTTTGGCTAAATTTAGCCGGGCTTGGATGTTTTTATTCGTAAGAAAAGGCTTCTGTCTTGCCACTCTATCCCATAGCCCAGAAGAATACGGGAGATTGGTGTCACATGGACAACACAGCCAGTACTTGCCAGATATTCTTGAAGCTCCTTTCATGTTGCTGTAGGCCTCTTGGCAGCCTCCCTGAACATTTTTTTTCTCGTCTTTTAATCCATTTTGGAGGGACGTCCAGTTCTTGATGATGTCACTGTTGGTGATGTCACTGTTGCACCAAATTTTCTTCACTTGATGACTGTTTTCACTGTGTTCCATGGTATATCTAATGCCTTGGAAATTCTTTTGTACCCTTCTCCTGACTGATACCTTTTACCAATGAGATCCCTTTGATATTTTGAAAGCTCTCTGCGGACCATGGCTTTTGCTGTAGGATGCGACTAAGAAAATGCCAAGAAAGACCGACTAGAACAGCTGAACTTTATTTGGGGTTCAATCAGAGGTAAATGATGGCAGGTGTGTACATACTCCTATTTAACATGATTTTGAATGTGATTGCAGTTTTAACAGGGTGTGCACACTTATGCAACCACATTATTTTAGTTTTTTACGTTTACTCCCCCCGCAAAAGACTTGTTTTTCAATTGAGTTGTACAGTTTATAGGTCACATTAAAGGTGGAAAATTTTCTGAAGTGATTTAGCTTTGTTTCTTTTTTTTTTTACATCACAGAAACCTGACATTTTAACAGGGGGCGTGTAGACTTTTTATATCCACTGTACAGTAGATACATCTACATTCTTATTTTTATTATTTTTTTCTATTTTATAGTGCTCATGCTTCCCTTATATTACCTTAGATTTAGACTTCAAAGTGTTGGTTATGCCAAAACTTATAGTTCAGTGCTGAGTGAATAACAAATGGCTGAGTTCACCATTGACTTCTTATATCTTCTGGACTTCAGTTGGGAGATGTCTAATGTGAAGCAAATTATGACCCCAAGCGGAGGAGTTATAGCTCTTCATAATGACTGTCCGATGGAACTGACAACTCAAGGCTGGAAATCTCAAATCCTACTTGATAGACATTCCCAACTCCATCCACCACCAGCAGCTACAACAAAGATGCCCAATAGATCTTATAAAGTTTACCCTTATCATACCTTCCAAATATTGCTGCAGGAGAAATAAGACTCCCCGGTGGGGAGGGTCAAGAAATTTGGTGGTGAAATGTTGCTGTTGGAGATATAAGAAGACCACGTGTGAAATATCGGTTTTGCACAACTTGGTCAGCTTATCCTTCAATCTTGGCATGTTTCAGCTGGTGCCTGAGGAGGTGGCCCATCTGGATGAAGGCCTTCCCCGACTCCTTCAATCTTGGCATGTTACAGCTGGTGCCAGAGGAGGTGGCCCATCTGGATGAAGGCCTTGCCACACTCCTTCAATCTTGGCATGTTTCAAATGGTGCATGAGGAGGCGGCCCATCTGGATGAAGGCCTTCCCACATTCCTTCAATCTTGGCATGTTTCATCCGGTGCCTGAGGAGGCAGCCCATCTGGGTGAAGGCCTTCCCACATTCCTTCAATCTTGGCATGCTTCAGCTGGTGCCTGAGGAGGCGGCCCATCTGGATGAAGGCCTTCCCAGACTTCTTCAATCTTGGCATGTTTCAGCTGGTGTCTGAGGAGGCAGCCCATCTGGATGAAGGCCTTCCCACATTCCTTCAATCTTGGCATGTTTCATCCGGTGCCTGAGGAGGCAGCCCATCTGGATGAAAGGCCTTCCCACATTCCTTCAATCTTGGCATGTTTCAGCTGGTGCCTGAGGAGGCGGCCCATCTGGATGAAGGCCTTCCCACACTCCGCGCACGAATACGGTTTTTCCCCTGTATGGATTTTCCAATGGCCGTTCAGTTCCGACTTTGTGGTGAAACCTATATTGCACTCCGGACACTGGAAAGGCTTCTCGCCTGTGTGCCACCTCCGATGTTTCACCAAGTCGGCCTTCCAGGTAAAAGTCTGTCCGCAATCCTCACATGTGTACGGCTTCAGCCCCGTGTGACTCCTCTGATGAATGGACAGGTTGGAGCTAGTGTAAAAGCATTTACCACACTCTGTGCACGGGTAAGGCTTTTCGCCGGTGTGAATTCTGAGGTGCTTGGTATAATAGGACTGACTGGAGAAGCTCTTACCACATTCGGGGCAAGAATAGGGCTTCTCACCAGTGTGAACTCGTTGGTGGCTCACCATCTCCGACTTCCAGGTGAAGTTCTTGCCGCATTCTAAACAGGTAAATGGCTTCTGCCCCGAATGGACCTTCCGGTGTAGCAAGACGTTGGACCGAGAACCAAAGGACTTCCCACAATCGGAGCAAGTGTATGGACGCTCTCCTGTGTGCGTTCTCTGGTGCTTCACCAAATACGACTTGATGGAAAACCCCTTTCCGCACTCTGTACAGACATACGGCTTCAGCCCAGTGTGTATACGCTGGTGGACAACGAAGTCGCCCTTCCAGGCAAAACTTTTTCCACATTCAGAGCAGGAATAGGGTTTCTCCCCCGTGTGGATCTGCCGGTGTTTTAAAAGGTGTGAACTCTTCTTAAACGCCTTGCCGCATTCGGTGCATAAAAAAGGTTTCTCTCCCGAGTGAATGCGCCTGTGACAAACCAAGTTTTCCTTTCGGGTTAATGACTTACCACATTCCTCGCATGTAAAGCGTTTTTTGCCGGAAGGAAGATCTGACTCCATACATGTCTGTTGCTCTTTGCTGTTGTCAGAAAAACGTTCTACGTCCTTTAAGGAGTCGGTTTGTCTGGACAAATTCTGATGCCTGCTGTTGATGTTTGAGGGAACAATGGTCTCCTCTTGGGGAACTTTGCTGATTTGGTGCATGGTGGATTCAACTGTAACATTCTTCACTTTCTTGGAGATCTTTAGTTGTCTAGTAGAACCACGATGCTTATTGTTGCACCTGGAACGGGTGATGGCCTCTGCTTGGCCAGTTCCTCCAGATTGGTGCATTTTTGAGTCTACAGTAAGATGTCCAATGTCGCTTATGAGAAAAGATGGTTTGGGTGGATGGTGAAACCTGGTGTTAAAGTTTGATGGAGCAACAGTCACATCTCGGCCAACTATTCCACTCTGCCGTGCTTTGGAGTCACTGGTAAAATGCTCAACGAAATGCAAAAGACTGGATGGTCTAGGGGCATTGAGGTACCATGGAGTAGAGCTTGGGGCCATAAATCTCCCAGCTTGAAGACTTTGGGTGATTTTGTCATCAATCAAATTGTGGCATGCATAGATAAAGGGAAATGCTTCTGATTTAGTTCCGGTGTCAGGCCCATCTGAAGGAACAAAAGTGTTTTTTTAGATTTTTGGACTCTGAAAGCTCAACCCAAATGTTAAAAAAAAGCCTGATTTTAGAATGCCCCTTAATGGTGTTAGCAAATGAGAAGACTACATGGATTCCCTTCAGTTTACTTCCAAATGGCTCTTGCCATGCAGAGTTTGTCATTCAAGGTGACAAAGGGTAGGATTTGAGATTGTTGTACTGACTGAACAAGGAACATCTTTTCTGGGTTTAGTATTTATTCCTCACCTGTGCTGATCTCTAGAGGGATCTCCTCCTCCCTGCGCAGCTCATCACTCCTCACATGCAAATCATCCGCTTCCTCCTTCACTTCAACCTTAACAGCAATCACACCAGCACCCTGGATAACACAAAAGGAACATCACAAACGAATACTTTAAATAAAACGCTAAGGATCACCTTAGTGAGATCATTTGTTTCACTTACCGAATAGTCCTGCAGGACCTTGTGATCCTCCTGAGGAATCTCCTGATGTTCCTGTGTGGAATCCCAGGAATACAGAGGACGGGGACATCTTTCTGGCGGATTCCCAGTACTGGATCCATCTACCTGATGATGGTGAGGGATGGTATGGTATTCCTGTGTAGAATCCTGGGAATACAGAGGACGGGTCCATCTCTCTGGCGGGTTCCCATTACTGGATCCATCTACCTGATGATGGTGAGGGATGGTGTGATCTTCATATGTGGAATCCTGGGAATACCGGGGACATCTCCCTGGTGGGTTCCCATTACTGGGTCCATCTGTAGGAAACACACACACTGACTGAATCCATTGTTTCTATGTGTTTATCAGATGATGGTGGATCTAGGTGGATCCTCTGTACTGCTCTTTCCTTTACAATAAAGTCTCCTCTTACCCGGTGATGTGAGGGGCGGCTGATTGTCCATCATGATGTCCTTGTAGAGGTCCTTGTGTCCTTCTAAATACTCCCACTCCTCCATGGAGAAATAGACAGTGACATCCTGACACCTTATAGGAACCTGACACACACAATGATACAGTCACCATCCAGACACATCCCTTGTCTGTTACTGGAGAATGTCCCAGAATTCCCAGCACCGCTCACCTCTCCTGTCAGCAGATCAATGATCATCTGGGTGACTTCTAGAATCTTCTTCTTGTTGTTTTTCTCAGATATCAGCAAGCAAGGTGGCCACTCACTTGTTTCCTTCTTTATAGGTCCATAATCCTAAAATAAGAGTATGAGAGATGTCATGTGACCTCCCAGAATCCTCCTCACCTCTCCGGTCAGGTCTGTGTTTTATTAATAGAGGTGAGAGTGATGTCATGTGACCTCCCAGATTCCTCCTCACCTCTCCGGCCAGGTCTGTGTTTTATTAATAGAGGTGAGAGTGTGTCAAGTGACCTCTCAGAATCCTCCTCACCTCTCCAGTCAGGTCTGTGTTCTATTAAAAGAGATAAGAGTGATGTCATGTGACCTCCAAGAATCCTCCTCACCTCTCCAGTCAGGTCTGTGTTTTATTAATAGAGGTGAGAGTGATGTCATGTGACCTCCCAGATTCCTCCTCACCTCTCCGGTCAGGACTGTGTATTATTAATAGAGATAAGAGTGATGTCATGTGACCTCCAAGAATCCTCCTCACCTCTCCGGTCAGGTCTGCGTTTAATTAATAGAGAAAGGAGTGACGTCATGTGACCTCCCAGAATCCTCCTCACCTCTCAGGTCTGCATTTGATTAATAGAGATAGGAGTGACGTCATGTGACCTCCCAGAATCCTCCTCACCTCTCCAGTCAGGTCTGCGTTTTATTAATAGAGATAGGAGTGATGTCATGTAACCTCCAGAATCCTCCTCACCTGTCCGGTCAGGTCTGTGTTTTATTAATAGAGATAGGAGTGATGTCATGTGACCTCGAAAATCCTCCTCACCTCTCCGGTCAGGTCTGTATTTTATTAAGAGATAAGAGTGACGTCATGTGACCTCCCAGAATCCTCCTCACCTCTCCAGTCAGCAGGTAGATGATCTCCAGGGTGAGATTTAAAATCCTCTGGGTCACGTGATTATGGCTGGTGTCCATTTCCTCAGGTTCAGGACTGGCGGACGAAACGTCTAAGGATATAATGTATTGTATTTTTAGCAATTTCCTCTTCTTAATATGCACATCGCATTCCATACAGTCCCCTCTAAAGCCTTTTAATATAAATCTATAGAAGGGAAAATAAGTGTTTTTAGCTATTCTGCGTGTAATGGATACTAAAAAGTTATTCCGGCGCTGCACAGCGGCTGCAATTCCTAATCAGGCTGTCAATGGGAGTGGCTGCACTGGGTGGTGACCTTAGCCAGCAAGGTTAAGGGGCACAAAATGTTGTCTGCAGTCCTGAAGCTCAGACAGTGTCATATTACATACCTGGGGAGGGTCAGGTGGGTATCTAGGGAACTTGAGCAGACATATATTCTTAGTGTGGTATTGGCTCAGGTACTCAGGCCCACACTGCACCTTCCTCTTCCCCACCAATGGTGCTGCTCATTCACCTACACTGGGAATGTGTCAAGGTACCTGTCCCTGTTATATTCTCCTCATTAGTTCCTCCTGTAGATGTCACATGACTAAAAAACCAGGTTCCTTATTTCCTAGAAGCAGCTCTGCAAAAAAGCACCGAAATGTGTCTTCATAAATAAGGCGCCTCAGGGCGCCATTCCGGAGACCGGAAGTCATTCTGGCGGACAAGTTGACCTCCTCCAAAATGGCTTCGTTGGCGGAGACATCCCTGTGCGCTCTCACTGTAATGTAAAACATTTTGTTTCTCTTATAATTATCACATATGTACCAATTCGGTGATGAAATTCATAGCGTCTGCCGGCTGCCAGAGAAATGGTGCGTTTTTTGTTTTTTTTTTAAATATCAGCTGCCCAAAGTAATCATGGGGGCTCCGCACTAGCGGTCAGCGACGCGCAGAGGGACGGAGGAGCATGCGCGGTGAGGTAGACGAAGCCAGAAGAAGAGTGCGCATGCGTAGCCCAGTGTTACCTTGCTGTGGGGATACTGGCAGATCTTGGGGAGCAGACAAGCGCTGGAGGAACAGGTATGGCCGCTGGAGGGGGACACATGGGCTCCTAGCTCCCTTCCCATCGCTGGGTTTATAGCTAAAGACACTACAACCAGTATTGTATAGGGTTCCTCCACCCAGAACTTAGACTTTAGTTATGGGTGGACACTGAGGAGCTAAATGTCCTGGAACTGACCTCTATCTCTATATCTTGGCCCATGGTAAGTGTGAAAGTCAGCCAGGGAGGTGGCATCTCATTGGTACAATCGTGACAGGTGGTCGGAGCTGGGAATCCCACTTGTATGAGTCCTGGATGGTGACCCACCAATAATTAGAGAGGGTGCTGAGAGCCTGCAACACCAGGGTCCTCCAATCAGTTCCAGCAAACCCATGTCATAGGTATTTCCTTCCAATGGGATTGTGATATCGGATTTCCTGAACTCACAGTTTCATCTTCTGTGATAGAGATGGTCTTAGACCCATCACCCAGTCTAATGGCATTGTGTGCTAACCCACTTCTAATTCTGCCTGTCCACAGAGACCTCCAGTCACAACCTCCGAGGGGCGCTGCGGGTCACCATGGACAAGAAGAGACGTCACATAACGAAGAGGATCCTAAACCTCACTCTGGAGATCATCTACCTGCTGACCGGAGAGGTGAGGAGGATTCTGGGAGGTCACATGACGTCACTCGTCTCTATTAATAAAACAGACCTGACCTGAGAGGTGAGGAGGATTCTGGGAGGTCACATGACGTCGCTCTCGTTTCTATTAATAAAACACAGACCTGACCTGAGAGGTGAGGAGGATTCTGGGAGGTCACATGACGTCACTCTCGTTTCTATTAATAAAACACAGACCTGACTGGAGAGATGAGGATTCTGGGAGGTCACATGACGTCACACTCATCTCTATTAATAAAACACAGACCTGACGGGAGGGGTGAGGAGGATTCTGGGAGGTCACATGACACAAACCTGACTGGAGAGGTGAGGAGGATTCTGGGAGATCACATGACGTCACTCTTATCTCTATTAATAAAACCCAGACCTGACCGGAGAGGTGCGGAGGATTCTGAGAGGTCACATGACACAGACCTGACTGGAGAGGTGAGGAGGATTCTGGGAGGTCACATGACATCACTCTCTCTCCTCTATTAATAAAACACGGACCTGACCGAAGAGGTGAGGGGGATTCTGGGAGGTCACATGACATCACTCTTATCTCTATTAATAAAACACAGACCTGACCGGAGAGGTGAGGAGGATTCTGGGAGGTCACATGATGTCACTCTCATCTCTATTAATAAAACACAGCCCTGACCGGAGAGCTGAGGAGGATTCTGGGAGGTCAGATGACATCACTCTTCTCTCTATTTAATAAAACACAGACCTGACCTGAGAGGTGAGGAGGATTCTGGGAGGTCACATGACATCACTCCTATCTCTATATATAAAACACAGACCTGACCGGAGAGGTGAGGAGGATTCTGGGAGGTCACATGACACATACCTGACTGGAGAGGTGAGAAGGATTCTGGGAGGTCACATGACACATACCTGACTGGAGAGGTGAGGAGGATTCTGGGAGGTCACATGACACAGACCTGACTGAAGAGTTGAGGAGGATTCAAGGAGACATTAGTCCTGTCAACACTCCGGTGTCCAGTGGCGATATAAGGGCCAGGAAATAAAAAACAGTGATTGCTGCAGGGGACCAGAAGATCGACGCTTGCAGAAATGTTGACTTCTGAAGAAACTTCAGTTTAAATTGTGCCTCAGCAGTACTCTATGTTTTGCCCTGAATTCCTCCTGAAATATAGAAATGTACATCCTGTTCAAGAGTTCAATTGTTTCATATCCTCATAGCTGTGTATCTGTAGTGTAAGATCTCAGGCACTGCTGCCTCTGACTGCAAGTCCCACTAGATCTTTTTAATGAGATTTGGTGATGTTATTACTGTGCTGCTCACTGTTCTTGCTGGAGAGGAAGCTGTACCTGAGGACCTGCAGTTCAAGGATCTCTCTGGTTTTTTTTGTTTGTTTGTTTTTTTTCTTTTTTATTCTTTCTTTGGATCTGTACTTCCGCCACCTTTCCTTCCACTTTTTATTACCTCACCAGTTATCAGAGCAGCAGCAGTGACACGAGGAAGCAATGCCCTGCCTTTAAGAAGCCGGCTGCCCCCACACAGAGATATAGTGCAGGATAGGACATCGTAGGTCTGTAATGGGTTAAAGATCAGCTGCAGGGAGACCACAAGCATTACTGGTGACTAGTCTTTTGCCCTATTTTTGCCTTTTTTTGAGGTACCACTTCCACATTTAAGGACTTCTTAATCTCTTTCAATACACCTTAGGATTACGTTCCACTGAAGAAGTCTGGTGACCATGTGACACCCAACAGCCAACCCCTGGCATCTGGAAGATGGAGCAGGAACCAGAGCCTCAACTTGGAGCCTCCACCTCCCTCCCTGACACCTGAGAAGAAAAACGACAAAAAGATCCTTCAACTGACCAGCAAGATCATTGAGCTGCTGACGGGAGAGGTGAGCGGTGCCGGGTATTCTGGGACATTCTCCAGTAACAGACAAGGGATGTGTCTGGATGGTGACTGTATCATTGTGCGTGTCGGGTTTCCATAACTCTGTCTCTTTCTCCATGTAGGATCTGGACTATTTGGAAGAAGACACAAATTTCTACAGAGACATCAAGGTGGAGAAATCTCAGATGCTTCACTTAAGTGGTAAGTTATCTCCATAATTGGCATCCGAAAAATGTTCAAGTAAACGTCAGATCAATACGGAGGGTCCACCTGGATCATAGAAACAATGTACTCAGCCAGTGTGTGTGTTTCCTACAGGTGGATCCAGTAATGGGAACCCACCAGAGAGATGTCCTCATCCTTTCTATTCCCGGGACTCCACACAGGAACATCTCACCATCCCTCACCATCATCAGGTAGATGGATCCAGTACTGGGAACCCACCAGAGAGATGTCCCCGCCCTCTGTATTCCCGGGACTCCACACAGGAACATCTCACCATCCCTCACCACCATCAGGTAGATGGATCCATTAATGGGAACCCACCAGAGGGATGTCCACGTCCTCTGTATTCCTGGGACTCCACACAGGAACATCTCACCATCCCCCACCATCATCAGGTAGATGGATCCAGTAATGGGAACCCACCAGAGAGATGTCCCCATCCTCTGTATTCCCGGGACTCCACACAGGAACATCAGGAGATCCCAGAAAAATCTACTGAAATCCCTAGAGATGATTTAGATGAGCAGAAGGTAAGATGGATCTAACTTTCACATAAATAACAAAGGACCATAGTTGAGCCCAAGTTTTAACCACACAGGGAGCTTCTTGAGGATCGAAGTCACGGGCCACTCGTCTTGTTCAGCTTTAAATGCTGAACTCTTGTTTGTTGGCCAGGATTCCTGTCATCCTGCATCTTCTGTCAACCCATCTTGGAAGTCTTTTCTGCTATTTATTGGCATATTTAACTGACTCTACACCTCCTCTGGTCCTCCACCAGACCCTGCACGTTTTTCTTTCCAGCTCTGTTCCCAAAGGAGGTGCATGGCGATGTTAGGGAGGGTGTGGGATTCTTGACACCTGATGTAATGGGGGTGGGGTGCTCTGGACATCTAGTCTTTATAGATACAACCGGCCTTTGAGGGCAACCATAATGCTGATACAGCCCACTGTTGAAAGGGAGTTTGACACCCCTGTCCTAGAGAATACAATAGTGGTAGTTTTAAATTTTTTTATATATATATATGTGCAGCGCTAAACCGGATATGCGTAAATGACTATAATCTCAAGGATATATAAAGTGCTTGATATCTAAATACAGTACTGATGATCCGGAATAAATAATATATATGTATAATATATAGTGCTATATGATGCCCAAATAAAGTGCTAATTATCCAGAGAAATATGATGTCACGGTGGATAATCAAAGAAATAAATAAATAATTATGAACGTCCAAACAAATGTAATTAAGATAAAAAATAAAAGTTCCAATAAATATCAGTAATCCGGATAAAGGTAAATCTTTTTATCCCAGTAGTAAACAAATATTCCGGTGACGTGCGGGGTATAGTAAAAATGCACACTCACCAGATGCGCATTTTAAATGCGCAGTATGTTAATATGAAGTAATCAGCCACAGGTCCCCTCTACGGTAGGATGGGATACAGCCTGGGATGGATAACCCTCCACTGGAGCCTGGGGTGGTAAGAAGTCAGCCAGAGGTCCCCTTTAAGGTAAGCTAATGGAGGCACAGCAGAGCGGAGCAGGTAGGACATATAGAGAAGAATGGAAGCAGAACATGGACCATGGACCTCTGGCTGGCTTCTTACCACCCCAGGCTCCAGAGGAGGGTTATCCATCCCAGGCTGTATCCCATCCTACCGTAGAGGGACCTGTGGCTGATTACTACATATTAACATACTGCGCATTTAAAATGCGCATCTGGTGAGTGTTCATTTTTACTATACCCCGCACGTCACCGGAATATTTGTTTACTGTGTGTGAATGGGCACGCAGAGCAGCAGCTCGGGAGCGAGCCTGCTTGGGTGCCCCCATAGAGAGAAGAGAGAGGGGCCCTGTTTAGCATTACGGAGGAGGTCTGATGTGTATCACAATCAATGTGTGTTTACGTTCGTATATGTGGGAGTGGTGGGGGGATCAAAATTTTTGGGGGGATTGGATTTTATATGCTTGTGAGCAACTTAAATTTTTTGCAACTTAAAAAAAAAAAATATTTATTTATTTATTTTTTTCATCACATAGTCCCCTGTGTGATGATTTTTTTGGTGACAGGTTCTCTTCAATAAACCATCCGGGCTCTAAAAGACCCCCATTGTCTCCCCTGTTCTCCGCCGAATGTAATGCAGTGCAGATCGCTCTGCATTACATCCTTTCCTGGCCATACTGGGCGGACAAACTGACAGGAGGACGTGGAGGTGACATTTTACAGCCACTTTCTGGTCAGCAAAAAGAAGGGGAGGAGAGCGGACGTGTGTCCACCCCCCCTCTACTGGCAGCAGCCCCTATGCTGGTTCCAGGCCTACAGATGTGCAAGCAGGGCCTAGGATACATGGCAGAGGATGGCACCTGTTACCGTGGGGGGGTGATGTGTGAAAGTTTTGGCAGATATTTGGCTGAAAGAGCGTTTGTGAATGAGGCCCCATTCACACCTGAGCGTTTTGTAGCTCCAATACGCTCAGGGAAAAAAAAAAATCAATATTACTCTATGGAGACAGTTCACATCTCCACTCCACGTCGCCTGAAGCTCAAAAAAGTTTTGGAGCTCATATTGGGCAGATTTTTACATTTTTTTATTCCCATAGAAAAGAATAGAAATGGACGATTTTGTGCTTTTTAACTTGTGTCTGGTGCGATTTTTCTGCTCAAATTAAACAAAATATATAAATAAAAAAAAGAATAAATAAATGTAAAATAAATACACATATAAATAGAAAATGATGCTAAATAATAACCCCTAACCTTAAAAAAAGAAAAAATGAAATATTAATTTATGTATTTATTTTACATTTATTCATTTATTATTATTATTATTATACAGGATTTATATAGCGCCAATAGTTTGCTCAGCGCTTTACAATATAAAGGAGATAATACAGCAACAATACAGTTCAATACAAGAGGGGTAAGAGGGCCCTGCTCCTCGGAGCTTACAATCTAGGTAGGAGATTTTTATTATTATTATTATAATAATAATAATAATAATGATGATGATAACTTTTTAAGGGTTAGGGTGTTAAGGTTAGGGGTTATTTATTATTTATTAAGTGAGAAAAAATGGTGCTTATTGCCATTCACTATTTGTTTATAGTCAGATGTTAGCAGCTACTTCATTTCCTTCTTTGAGTTAGTAGTTTTTTTGGTGGCGCAGTGGGTTTGTCCCTTTCTTTCATTATTTATTTATTATTACGTGGTATTTATCTATTAATATTTTTATGTACTGGTGTTTTTTTTTACATTTATTTATTCATGTATTTATATACCGTAATAATGATGATCATCATTTTTTAAGGGTTAGGGGGTTAATTATTATTTATTTATTTATTAAGTGAGAAAAAATGGTGCTTATTGCCTTTCACTGTTTTTAGTCAGGTGTTACCAGCTACTTCATTTCCTTCTTTGAGTTAGTCGACGCAGTGGGTTTGTCCCTTTCTTTCATTATTTATTATTACATTTTTTTATTTACTTGTGTATTTATAATAATAATGATGGTAATTTTTTAAGGGTTGGGGGGGGGGGTTAATTATTTATTTATTAAGTGAGAAAAAATGTTGCTTATTGCCTTTCACTATTTGTTTATAGTCAGGGGTTAGCAGCTACTTCATTTCCTTCTTTGAGTTAGTCCTTTTTTGGTGGCGCAGTGGGTTTGTCCCTTTCTTTAATTATTTATTTATTATTGCATTGTATTTATCTATTAGTTTTTTTATTTACTTGTTTTTTTTACATTTATTTATTCATTTTTATTTATTAATATTAATAATAATAATAATAATAATAATAATAATAATAATGGTCATTTTTTAGGGTTAGGGGGTTAATTATTATTTATTTATTAAGTGAGGAAAAAATGGTGCTTATTGCCTTTCACTATTTGTTTATAGTCAGGTGTTAGCAGCTACTTCATTTCCTTCTTTGAGTTAGTCGATGCAGTGGGTTTGTCCCCTTCTTTCATTATTTATTTATTATTACATTTTATTTACTTGTGTTTTTTTTTTGCATTTATTTTTTCATTTAATATTATTATTATTATTATTAATATTATTATTACCTTATCCCTAACAAAAAATAAATAAGAAAATAACAAACAACTAACCCTAACCTAACTTTAACTGTAACCTCTTACCCTAACAACAAATGAAGCAACAGATGCAACCTTAACTCTAACCCTTTACCCCACAAAACTAAATAAAATATTATTATTAATAATAATAATAATAATAATAATAATAATAATAATATAAAAAGAAATAAAAGGTGATGTAAAATCTGACACAGAAAAACCTAGCAACAAATGATGCAACAGATGATATTTTTCTCTATTCTCTAAACAAAAAAAAGCCAAAGCTCAAAAATGGCTAAAAACGCTGTATGAAAATGCCCAAAAATGAAACATCGCCTTAAGATACTGATGTTCAAAGAAAAACCTTTGCCCTCAGTAGGTGTCGCAAGTTCTCTGAACTGTCTTCGCCCTGTTCTGTTGCCAGTGGTTGTCAGTGGAGTCTGCATGTCTATGACATGACTTTATGAATGACCTCATTCGGAATGTGATTCAGAAGGGTTCCGTTGATCTGTCTGTCCCGCTCTCATCATTTGTGTCCAATCAATCAGAACTGTCTGTGAATGCGTCTAAATATTACTTCTTGGAAGCTTGCTCAGAAATGTAAAAGCTGCATTTGGTCATTTGTAGGCCGAAGACGTGCGGGAAGTCAAGGCTGTTATCGTAACCCAAGGTGACACTGCTGAAGAAGCGAATGTGAGGGGTGAGGAGCCATGTAAAGAGGAGGAGAGTCCTCCAGAGATCAGCCGAGGTAAGAAATAGGCAACAAAATCCTGAAAGGATCTGGAAGCAGAGAAAGTGTCCTGCAAAACCGCACACCGAGCATTCCGGTACATCAAAGAGTTAGTAGCAGCCTCGGTCTATCTCAGTCCTGGCTACACCTTCCGACACGTTTCGCCCCGCCCATGGGGCTTAGTTGTGGACTCCATGACTAAGCCCGTGGGCAGGGTGAAACACGTCGGTGTGGCCAGGACAGAGAGAGACCGAGGCAGCTACTCGGTCTACCAAGTAATCTGGTAGATCAAAGAGTTAGTAGTAGCATCGGTCTATCTCAGTCCTGGCTACGCCCACTGACGCTTTTCGTCCCACCCATGGGGCTTAGTTGTGGACTCCATGACAGCCTCATGGTCAGGATGAAACACGTTGGTGTGGCCAGGACAGAGATAGACCAAGGCCGCTACTATCTCGGTCCTGGCTACGCCCTCCGACATGTTTTGCCCTACCCATGGGGCTTAGTTGTGGACTCCATGACTAAGCCCCATAGGCAGGGTAAAACGCATCGGTGTGGCCAGGACAGAGATAGACCGAGGCTGCTACTAGGTCTACCACGAAATCCAGTACATCAGAGTTAGTAGCAACCTCGGTCTATCTCAGTCCTGGCAATGCCCTCCGACGCGTTTCGCCCCACCCATGGGGCTTAGTTGTGGACTCCATGGGCAGGGTGAAACGCGTCGGTGTGAGATTCACATTTCACTTTTAAAATTGACTTAATACCCCGTAGGTGCGTATGGAACCTCCCTGGATCA